TATGAAGACAAAAGGGAAAGAGGCGATAGGTGATTTAAAGATAGGTGCAAAAAAATAAATGAGGAAAGACGGGAGTGAGTGTCGGTGAAATGATGAGGATAAGATGTAATGAGATAAGATGGATTGGCTTATGGGTACATAAGAAATTCAAGGTATGCAGTAGGCATGAATAAAGGCTTTACTGAGAAAACATTGGCAAGGGAATATTATTCCAGGATTCCTGAGATGAAAGAAGAATATGGATGGAATAGCAAGGTTCAGAGTGAAAAACAAATGTAAGCATTGTAATCTTTATAGCACAAGAGCGTTTAAGATTATAATTCTTGATTTCTTCTATAGGTTGGAAGGATGTAATTAAAATAAAACTTTGGAAGAATGTAGTGCTTTCGCGTTTTGAAAGATGAGAATGTCTATGGGCAAGGGTAAAGGGAAAGGGTGAAGGTTTTTTTTAATGAGAGAGTTGTAATGCTTCTTCGTTTTGATAGATGAGGACGGTTATGGGCAATGGTAAAGAGAAAGGGTAAAGGTTTTTTTTAATGAGAGAGTTGTAATGCTTCTGCGTTTTGACAGATGAGGACGCTTATGGGCAATGGTAAAGAGAAAGGGTAAAGGTTTTTTTTAATGAGAGAGTTGTAGTGCTTCTGCGTTTTGACAGATGAGGACGCTTATGGGCAATGGTAAAGAGAAAGGGTAAAGGTTTTTTTTAATGAGAGAGTTGTAGTGCTTCTGCGTTTTGACAGATGAGGACGCTTATGGCCAATGGTAAAGAGAAAGGGTGAAGATTTTTTTAATGAGAAGGTTGTGGTGCTTCTGCGTTTTGAAAGATAAGAACGCTTATGGGCAATGGTAAAGAGAAGGGATGAAGGTTTTTTAATGACAGAGTAACTTTTTTTAATTAGGTATTTGAGAAATGGATCTTTGTTTCTTCAAAGAGGTACCTAGTCACTCACCGTATCTAAGTTAAATAAAGACGACACTTTTTTGATAAATCCATCCTGCTGCCTTTTTTTCCTTCGAGATGTCATTTTATGAGATTAAACGACCCAGATAACGTCTTTTATATGTACACAACAAGAAATAAAAAATTATCACTTCTTAATGTCAGTACTTGATATCCTCTAAGAGAAATATTCTTGTGGGCGATGAACACTCACGAATCACTAACAAATATTAAACATTTCAGCTCTTCCACAAGATTGAAATAGTAAGTTATTTTACTGATACTGCCAAAAACAAAATGTTTGACCTTAATAAAATACCAACACTTAATATTATTCTCTTTAGCATGTTCTTCCTAATTTAAGTTTTATACTGCATCAGACTGCAGAAATGACGTAAACTTTTTATAATACCTTCGTATATCAGCTTGAATATGAAAGACGTGTAGGTGTGCATAAACTAACTGATAAGTACTATTTTAATGTTGTAGCTGTGTTTTAAATATCCTTTATACACAAAATAAATGAATAAAACAAATAGCTACGGCAGGCAAAACCATTTGGAAAATGATTCTAGAAAAGGATCCACCCATAACAGAGATTCTCTCTGCCTGGCACGAATTGCTATTCACGATTCACCTTATTTTCTTGAGAGCAATGCACGATGTAGTTACAGATTTAGGAATAATTTTTTTTTATTAAAATAACTTACTAAACAATCGTGTAGGTACAATGCAAAAGAGACCGAATGTTTAGATTACCTTTACGAACATTTTTACACAACAGCATTACTACACTAATGTAAAATTTTATTTAAACATCGAAAACACCACATGAAGAACAAAGAGCTAAATGCACTGCAAACGGAAATTCAGTTGCATTTTCGTCAGAATTTATTATCGGAACTTGCACATACACTTTGAGGTTAGGTATTTAAAATCACAAAATTTCTTAATTGTAAGTACTGTTTGCTCGAATCCAATGTAACCGTATATCACCACTGCACAAATGCCTTTACACCGTAAAAGTTATTGTACATTCTTTTTTGCTTTTTATCACAAAACCAAGCACGCTGTAGGTAATAGTTCTCTGGCACGGACGCGACGATCACGAAAACCGTTACAATCCTCCGAGTTCAAAGACGCTAAACCACCAGTTCTACCTTTATTTTTACAGACCATCGTTTTCAAAATGTTGTCCTGCATATCGAACTGTATGGAAGCAACAAGCTAGCGTCACAAATGGTTGTTAATGCGTCTTTCTACAGGTACAAGACTCGCGCTTACCTGTCTTGTACCTGTGGCATTCGCAATATTATTACTACTAAGCTGCTGCGGTATTTAAGCCGGCATGGCGGACGACTACGTCATACACGCGATAACAGAGCCGTAGCCGCTTGCTTGTATCTTGTGTTGTATATAATTCAGGAGTGATGCTATGCGGGACACACCTAAAGCCATAAAGCTCCCTAGATATCGTGATACTAAGGAATTTATTTTTCTTGTTCCTGGAAAATTCATTTCCGGAAAATTTTTACATTAGTTTCAATATCTTCCAATTATATTGTTTTTTTGTTTTGTTGCTACGACAAAAGTTTTCTTACGTACTAATATATCCTTTCCGCATAAATTATTTAAGGAAAACGTGGATTTTATTTCAATGCTTTCCCTTTACGTTTTCATACTACCCTTTGACGATTTGAACTTAAAATGGAAAAATCGATATTGGCAATATGGCACAGCGATGTTGGCGCCTTAAATATTTTATATCATATACAGGGTGATATTTTGCTGAATGTCGTTCAATAAACTTAATGTTACCTAAATTAGTCTCTTATATTAGAATCTTCAAGATTCAGCAATAACTTATATTTTATGCCTACACTTAATCGCCATGGCGCGTAATTAATAAATTCTCGTTACTAATCACATTAGACTATTAGTCTTTTAAACATAATTAAAATTGTAGCCTGTAAAGTCTAAACAACAAGAAAAATGTCATTAGCTTAATGAAATTTATGACGTTCACTAGTAATTAAGCAAAGTATCTGTATTTTGTGTGCCTGTTTCCTTTATATATGTATTTATAAATAAGCAATAATGGAATGAACAACTGTTTTATATAAAATCTATCATTTGAATATACATACCTCCATATTTAATCTATATACACGGAGAAATTGGAAAATGAAAATTTACCTTCAAATTAAAGCGATATTTACAATTTATCTCACTAGACCGTTGTTTTGTATGCCAAAATAATAAAAATTACAATTTGGACCCGAATTTGTAATAAAAACTTAAAAAAAAAAATTAAACCGCAGAAAAAAAAAGCAAAAAATAATGAACCTTTATTTTATTAACCTTAATTTATTCTATATATATAAGTTCTTCAATGTTAGTATACCTAAGTTTTCCCCTGTTTTCCTACCCATAGGGTTAGATTTTTTTTTCCAAGTTTATATGGGACCAACTTCGGGGTATACCCTTTCCAATAGAAAAAGAATTATCAAAATCGGACTGTTCTGTCAAAAGTTATGCGTGATCATACATCACAATCAGTGAGTGAACAACAATCATCCCCTGTTTTCCTACCCTTAGGGTTGGAATTTTTTTTTTCAAAATTTATATGGGACCAACTTCGGGATATACCCTTTCTAATAAAATAAGAATTATCAAAATCGGACTACTGTATAAAAAGTTACGCGTGATCATACATAAAAAAAAAATATGCGCGTCGACTTACTTGAGAACCTCCTTTTTTTTCATCGGTTAAAAATAAAATCCAAGCAGAAATATTTTAGTAGATATTACAAATTTAATTGTAATAATTAAGAAACTTGAATTAATTTTTAACGAAACATGTCAAAATAGGAGAATAGAGGACTCTATGGAAGTCAAAGGAAGTAATCTAATCGGATATAATTTTAAATTTATATTCATTTTCCTTTGCTAAAATATACTGAAAACAAACCAATCTGAAATCTTTTATAATTTTAAGCATTCTTTACAAAATGGAAATATACCTTCCACATAAAATTAAGTAATAAACTTAGCAAATTTAACTGTTATATGCCTTAGGTCTTTGTATCAATCTAGTTTAGCTAAATACTTTTTAATTGCTCTATATTTCAATAGTTCACACATAAGTATGTGTATACGTACTTCATTTTATTTGCACATAAATGAATATTGCAATTATTCTTTATGATAAGGAAATGCATTCAAGGTTATTTTACGTTTATTATATTTATGAGTATCGCATTTTTTCACTTAAATCATTCAGTGTAAAAATATAAACTGAATTATACTATTCGTCTACGTGTATTTTGCAGCGGTTTCCGTGGTTTTAATGAAAACGGATAGGAATTCAATAAAAAAATGATCAAATGTCTCTGAGTCATTGAGTACAAGAAATCCTAGAAGTCATTAGTATATTTAACATGCGATTGAAATATAATTCAACAGATCAAACATATGACGTGTGTGTTTACTCATACTTACAATTAATAATTAAAGTACACAAATCAAGGCAAAAAAATATTAAGTAAATTTAACACAGTATATTTAAATAGGTGAACGTTCTATTCTTGCATATTTTTATTCTGAATTCCAATAAAAAAAGTCGAATTAATTAACGTTGCTAGTAATCTGCAGAATTATTGAATGATGTGGGTGAAATAAGCGCTTTTATGTTACGTTTTTAATTAATTTTTTTGATAACTGTAATTGTATGTAATTTTTGATAACTGTGATTATATGTAATTATGATAATTCTTCGATGAGAAAGTGAATAATTCTGCCTATGGAGTTTGTGTTAGGCAGCACACAGTACAGACCTAAGCTTGCTGAGACATTACATGGGATAAAGTTACAAGCTGGTCAAATAATTCTCACACACTTGAAAATTTTAAACTACCTCTTTGTGAACGAAAACGCGAACATTTATTTTCTTGTCAGTACGGCACGCTTTGCCAGTAATATATTTTAGTTTTTAGAAACGACAGTTTCATCTAAGCAAATCAAACATAAAAAAAAGAAAATATAAAATAGAATCACTTACATGATCTCTGCCGTTGTCCTGCCAACTATCCACACCCTGAAATAAAAAGAAAGATGCTATAAAAATGTTTTTTGAAAATGTAATGTCATATAGTGTTGCTTTTCATTTTTCTGGGATTAAGTCAAATCACGGAATTGCATTTGTTATGGTTCCGGGATATAAAATTCGATCGACTTTGTAAAACGCAAAACTGCTACGCGAAACCGAAATAAGGAGCGTGGTCAATGTGGACCTAGACAAGATTCCCACAGTTCTGTGCCTGTGACAAAACCAAACACCATGAGGGGTCATATAAAGAGCAAAGGTACATGAGGAAAGGGGATAATTAAGAAAAGTCTGGGATGGAGATAAAGTGAGGTCCGCGAATCGGGCATGATACATGATAGACTGGCGTTGGGTGGATATCCCCTTCGAGAGCGAACCACTGGATCCCCGTGCAGCTGATACTTTCCTCCCGGAAGAGTAAAGGTCCCATAATGGGCAAAGGTAAATGAGGAAACGCGAAGACCAGGTGAAGTCTGGGATAGAGATAAAGTGAGGTCCGCGAATCGGCATGAAGCCTGAAGGAAGAGGTGATCCACTGGTCCATACGGTTGGGACATCGTCGAGTACATCATAGACTGACGTTGGGTTGACGATTCCAACCCTGTACTGAAACTAATATCTCCCCTTAGAGAGCGAACCATAGGATCCCTTTGCAGCGGATAATTTCCTTCCGGAAGGCAAGGATGGGTAAAGGTCCTATGAAGGGCAAAGGTAAATGTGGAAAGGGGAAGATCAAGTGAAGTTTGGTATGGAAATAAAGTGAAGTCTGCGAATCGGGCATGAGACCGGGACGAAGAGGTGATCCACTAATCTGTACGGTTCGGAAATCGTCGGGTACATCATAGACTGGCGTTGGGTTGGCGATTTCAACCCTCTACTAAAACTGAAATCTCCCCTTAGAAAGCGAACCACCGGATCCCCTTTGCAGCTGATACCTTTCTCCCGGAAGATAAGGAAGAGTAAGGGTCCCATAAAGGGCAAAGGTAAATAAGGAAACGGGAAGACCAAGTGAAGTTTGGTTTGAAAATAAAGTGAAGCCTGCGAATCGGGCATGAGACCGGGACGAAGAGGTGATCCACTAATCTGTACCGTTCGGAAATCGTCGGGTACATCATAGACTGGCGTTGGTTTGGCGATTTCAACCCTCTACTAAAACTGAAATCTCCCCTTAAAAAGCGAACCACCGGATCCCCGTTGCAGCTGATGCCTTTCTCCCGGAAGATAAGGAAGAGTAAGGGTCCCATAAAGGGCAAAGGTAAATAAGGAAACGGGAAGACCAAGTGAAGTTTGGTTTGAAAATAAAGTGAAGTCTGCGAATCGGGCATGAGACCGGGACGAAGAGGTGATCCACTAATCTGTACGGTTCGGAAATCGTCGGGTACATCAGACTAGCGTTGGGTTGGCGATTTTAACCCTCTACTAAAACTGAAATCTCCCCTTAGAAAGCGAACCACCGGATCCCCGTTGCAGCTGATACCTTTCTCCCGGAAGATAAGGAAGAGTAAGGGTCCCATAAAGGGCAAAGGTAAATAAGGAAACGGGAAGACCAAGTGAAGTCTGGGATGGAGATAATGTGAGGTCTTCGATTCGGGCATGGGGCCTCGAGGAAGAGGTGATCCACTGGTCCATACGGTTGGGACATCGTCGAGTACATCATAGACTGGCGTTGGGTTGACGATTCCAACCCTGTACTGAAACTGAGAGAGCGAACCACCAGATCCCTGTGCAGAGTATAGTTTCTTCCCGGAAGACGAGCAAGAGTAATGATACAACTGTTAAACTTAATCTCCCGCAGTGGCTTTTGTCTCCTACCTGATAATTTGTTGTTTGTTTATACCTGTTGTTAACTATTTGTCATTACTTTAAGTTTTTCAGTATAAATTAATTTATTGACAATTGTGCTGAATATTTAAAATGGATGAAAAACATGTTTTTCGATAGTAGACCTTACCTACGCCAAGCGATCTCCTAGCAACCATGATATAGCAGAAACGAGCTGTCCACTCTCACGAAAATCGAAATAATTTGATTCATTTTTGGTTTGAGATCATTTTCTTTTCAATACAAAAGTGACTGCACCTTCTAACACACATCTAATAGATAGACTTCCATCTTGACTTTTGATATGTCTGGTGTCTGAGATATGAGGAATTGAAATTGTGATACGCGCGATACAATTCATTACAGGCGAATTGAGAATCGAACTGTATTTTCGATGATCTTTGACACGTATTTAGGACATCAACGCGAGCGAAGCAATGGATAAAAGCTTATATAATATAAATCTCTAGGCTGAAGTCATGAACTTCGCAAAGAAAAGGTTACACGCCTTAAGTTTTATTAATGTGTATAAATCATACATCCATTACAACCTGGTTTGCAAAAACAGTCTATTACAGGGTGAAAAAATACCCGTTATCTCAGATTCAAACTTACATCAGGAATAAAATCGAATGTACTACAAGAATGCCCCGCAAGACTATGTAAATGAATGTAGGAGTCAATAAGAATTTCTATAATCATTATTATAATACTACTTATAATCTTACAACTGCTAAAAGCTTTTAACATGACTTTACCTTGCAGGTTTTTAGTTGTATTTGTTTTCTCGTTTACTGTTTGTTTCTTTGCAAGCGTATTCGTACTTTTTACAGCGTCAATTTTGCAAAAAGATACGGTCTTTTAATTGAAGTCCTTATCATGTTGTTATATTGAGATTTATAAACGAGATGGTACAGCTAAAGTTATTTAATAGATGTCCAGAAGGGTTGTAAAATTAATTACACTTTCCGGTGGAAGCTGGAAAGCGAAATAATATTTACTAAGAAAGATGCTTTAATTACTGTCCCCATTTTACATTTATTCGTGCGTGTTGAGACACGATTTAATTTATATATGTATTCCTCTTTATAAATAAATTATGCTTGTATAAATACGAATCACATCAAGTCCATTCAATTATACAAACTCATAAACTTTAAATATGTTTATACCTACTGATTCTGCTGAATTAAATAAAGTGAAAATTCTCCCCATAGCAACATGTCCAAAAGCTCCTAATAGGCAAGGAGTTTCCTTTACTGAAAGTGAGTAAAAATGAGAATCAAATATAATGAGAGGAATAGAGGAGGATCCAAATTAGATTACTGTTTATAAATAGTTAAGGATAATTGAAATTGTAAACTCGCTTAGCACTTGGTGAAACATTTTTATAAAAGTAAAGTAAAGGAATTAAAACACTTGGCAACTTTCACAATGTTCATTTATTTCTCTGACGATTGTTTCGATGTTTAAACCATTTTCAAAGGGTAGTACAGTTTTGTATAACTCAAAACTTCTCATAAAAACGTTTGAAAATCATAAAACGAGTTTCTATACCCTAGGATGTCATTCTTAGTTAAGATCTTGTCCTCTCAATCATTGTGAGATTACGGTTGAAGACAGAGTTTCAAACTATTAAAGAGGATCTGTACTAGGGGGTGGGGTTTGAGGGAGACCACACTAGTAAAGAGTAAAGTTCAAAACCAGTACGAAGTTCCACTCGGTGATTTTACTCAAAATATCTGTACTTTTAGTTATGTGGACTCTTGAAATGCCCATCTGCATGAACTCGAACTTTTTCGCAAAAAAATCACAAAAGACAAACAGGAATTAAACAAAAAAAAAGTGCAGACGATCTTGTAGTAAAACATGTATGTACTAGGTACAATTAACGCTTAAAACAATCTTCAATCTTCGTCTGCAGAAGTAAGCTTCTAGAGGCTAGGTTACGTACTTTTTTAAGGACAGATATTTCATACTGGTCGCTTTCGGCTTGTGTTTCAAAGCAACGCAAGGCAATATCTAAGCATGTAATCGCTTCAGCAGCACCAATTATGTTTTCATCTTCATTATCTGAACTTATAGATGATGAGGAGCTAGGGGTGGCGTCAGCCTTATTGGTCTTAAGGTCTAAAATTTCGCTATCCTGCATAATTTGGTACCCGGTATCTTCATACATATCCATCCATTGTTGAACCACTTTTTCATCACTTTCGTCACAATCGAGTCTTTTTTTAGCATATCTATCATTTCAGACATATCTTCCTGCTTCTCACTTTTACATCCACTTTGAGGATTTTCCCCTATACACAAAACTATAGGGTTGTTCGGAAAGTCATTTCGTTTTTTCCCGACAGAGGATTTAATTGTATTCTTTTGCACCCAACTTCATATTTAAGCCATATAATTTTTATATGCTTTGAGAGCTCATATAGCAAGGCTTGTGTGTGAAAAATTCCAATTAATTCTACGCAGTAGTTTTTGGTTGGTGCCCTTTTAAATATGGAGAGCGATAAGCAGCATTTTCGACATATCTTACTGTTTTACTACAGAAAGGGTAAAAATGCTGTTCAAGCCAGAAAGAAATTGACTGATGTGTATGGAGAAGGTGTGTTGACAGTACGCCAGTGCCAGAACTGGTTCGCTAAATTTCGATCCGGCAATTTTGATGTCGAAGATGCACCACGTTCGGGAAGGCCGGTTGAAGCTGATAAAGACGCGATAAAGGCATTAGTTGATGTGAACCGGCGAATAACAACACGTGAGATCGGATTGAGGTTAAATTTATCAAATTCAACAGTTTATGACCACTTGAAAGGCCTGGGATTATCCTCGAAGCTCGATGTATGGGTTCCCCATGTTCTCACAGAGAGAAATCTGTGTCGCCGCATTGACGTCTGCGATTCGCTTCTCAAACGTCACGAAAATGATCCGTTTTTGAAGCGCATCATCACTGGGGACGAAAAATGGGTTGTATACAACAACGTCAAACGCAAGAGGTCATGGAGCAAAAAAGATGAACCGGCTCAAACCATTTCCAAAGCCGATATTCACCAAAAAAAGGTGATGCTGTCTGTTTGGTGGGATTTTAAAGGAATCGTTTTTTTTTAGCTTTTACCGGATAACACAACGATTAATTCGGAAGTCTACTGTCATCAGCTGGACAAACT